TGGGCTGGTATGTACAGGTCATCTGCATAGATTAAACATTTTCTTTCCAAATCAATTGGTTGGTCATTCGTATAGATGTTATATAGCAGTGGTGCAAGTATGCTTCCTTGCACCACTGGTTCAGCTCCATCTGTTGCTTCCATCTGTTGCCTTATGGTGCTGTTGCCTTCATCTGCTTTTCTTCCCATCCAGTTTGACAAATAAAAAAGTATGTTTTTGAGCAGGGTTCATTATCAGCTCTGTAAGGTGTAGATCTTTTGTCATTTCTAGAGTCTTTTGGAGGAGTCATTGGTAGGTAATCATATCATAGGTAGCTGTTGCGTCAACAAACACAACTCGTGATTTGGCCTCCTTCAAAACCATCCTCAATATGTTGACTTAGATTAAGCAGTTTGTTTATTGTTGATTTTCCAGGGTGAAAGCTGCCCTGTTCAGGGATTCGGTGTTTACCCACATATGGGGCAAGTCACTTAAGTACCAGTTGTTTATAGAATTTGTACATGTGGCATAATAGAGATAGGTCTGAAGCTCTTTCAAACAGATGGATCTTTCCCTGGCTTTAGAAGTGCCAGTACCTGAACATGTTGCCATATCTTTGGAATGTTTTGACTGACTGTGCATGAGCTGTATAGGCAGAGGAGCCATTTTCAAGTCTGGGGTCCAAACTGCTTGATTTGTTTGATAAGTATGTTGTCAAGGTCAGCTGCTTTCCCAGTCTTCAATGTGTTACTACCAGTATTCAGCTCCATCATTAAAGGGCATTTAAACCCAGGTCTTTGGAGTACTTGTACCTTTCTAGTCAGAGGGTTTTTGTGTTTGTTTGTTTGCTTTTGGTTTGGGGGCCTTTTCCATTGAGAAGCATCTGGTGAGCAATTTGGTTAGTAGTCACATTATGATGTTGATCTACACTTCATGGCTTGTTGCTTAGTTTATATATTGTCAGCCAGGCCTTTTTACTATTATGCATCGTATCAGTTGACTCAATCAGGGTCTCCTAGGATTTCCTGCATTCTTTTGTGATGACCAGGGATCCGGGTTTTCAGTTTCTCATAGAAAAACAGAGAAAATGACAGATTTCCCATTTTGATCAGAGAAAATATGAATCTTCCCTTTAAAAGAGAGATCCATGGATTTCCCCATTTTGCAAAGAGCTCTACAGGTGGGCAGAGTTCCAGCCTACAAGAGCTGTTTACCAAAGGGGCGGGAAACCTCTAACCCTGGCCAGAGGGGAAGGGAAAGGGGAAGGGTGGGGCCCAACATTCACACTTACCGGGAGCTGCTTCAGGCTCGCTCTTCTTGCTGGAGGTAAGTGGGGCTTGGGGTTTGCAGGGCTGAGCTGGGGGGGAGGGGGGAAATCTGGCTAGGGGCAGAGGGAGCAGGGAGATTTGCAGCCAGCTGGACACTCAGGCCAGGAGGGGGTTTGCAGCCTTCCTGCTCCCAGCTGGAGTTCTCAGCCAGCTGCAAGCCCCCACTGCTCCCAGCCAGTTTCAAGTCTCCCCAGTCCCTCAGCCCCCAGCCAGGTTGGGTATTCCCTGGCTGGGTACTCTAGCCAGGAGGTGGGGTTTGCAGCTAGCCAGGAACAGTGGGGTTTGCAGGCAGCTGAGCACTCTGGCTGGGAGCGGGCACACTGCAAACCCCCTCCCAGCTGGAGTGCCTGGCTGGCTGCAAACCTCCCCATTCCCTCAGCCCCCAACCAGCTTGGGCACTGCAGCCAGGAGCAGGGGAGGTTTGCAGTCTCCCCACTCCTTCAGCCCCGAGCTAGCTTGGGCATTCCAGGCAGAAGAGGAGGTACAGCCTGCCCGCTCCCAGATGGAGTGCTCAGCTGGGTGCAAACCCATGCTGCTCCCAGCCAGCCGCAAACCCCTGTCCCTCTCCTGGCCAGAGTGCCCAGCTGGGGAGTGCCCAAGCTCGCTGGGGACTGAGGGAGTGGGGAGGTGTGCAGCTGGCCAGGCACTCCAGCCGAGTGGAGTTGGGGGGTTGGGGGTTGCAGCCTCTCCCACTCCATCAGCTCCCAGCCAGCTTGGGAACTCTCTGGCCAGGAGGGGGAGTTTGCAGCCGGCCAGGCACTTCAGCCAGGAGCAGGGAGACTGCAAACCCCCCCGCTCCCCTGGCCAGAGTGTCTGGCCAGATACAAACCCTGGGTCACAAACACTGTGCTTCCCGCCCTGCTGCCATCCCCCAGGCCTTCTGGAGTGCAGTGTTTGTGACTGGTGCAGCAGGACACAGTGGCGCCTCACATGAAAGCTGCCTGCCACTGCAAGCTCTGTGCTGCCCTGGCCACACTTCCTCTGTATGCACAGGGACAGTGCACACCTGCCCTGCCCCCACCCCCTCCCCACAGATCTGGGGGACGTGAGTCCCCCCTGACCCCTGGGAGTGCATGCTATCACTGGAAGATGGCCCTGCCCAAGCCTGCAGGAGGCAGCAGTGTGGGGGGATCTGGCTCATGCTCCTGCTGTAGCAACCACTGCCTTCCACTGAGGGCAGGGGGATGCAGACCTGGATCCCTGGCCCTGTAGCCCTGGCAACTGTGGGATCCCTCCAGCAGGGCTTCAAGGGGCACAAGCAGGGCTGGGGGGCTGTGGGGTGGGAGTGAGGGACACCAGCAGGGCTGTGGGGGGGCTGTGAGAGGCATTTAATTTTAACCATGGATTTGGGGATTTTTATCAGAGAATTTGCAATTTTTTATCAGAGAATTTATGATTTTTTATCATAGAAAACAAGTATCCCTGGTGACGACTAACATGGGGTCCTCACCTGTAGTGATATTGCAGAAAAAAGGTCTAGATCATACTGTTACCTGTAGTCTTTGTATAGGCCAGTAGTTTGCAGAGTGAAGCCTGGGATGTAATTCATGTGACAGCACCAAGGGATGTTCGTCCTTGCAGATTTTTGTACAGCTTTAATGAATTGGTCATAGGTCTCAAGCAATGCTTTGATGGGTTTGACTGTGGCATCAAGGTATTCTGAAAAGCCTTTTCAGTGTGCCTTATTAAGGTTCAAACATTGGCAAAATAGCATTGTTATAGGTGTTGCTCCAGCTTTGAAGCTAAATGCTAATTGGTTGATGTTGAGAATGTGGGATAGAGTCTAATATCATTTTATGATTTAGTCCGTGATGGTGTTGATGGTGAATATAAAGTCTGGGTTGTATCATTTTTTCCACTGACCACTGTTGAATGATTTAGGTAGTTTTGGATCATGAATTGAACTCAACTGGTATGCATCTGACTAGCCTTCTATTGCTTCAGTGTCTTCATTGGTCTCATTGTAGCCCCATTGCTTGCTGTGGCTGTTAGTTGCCAATGATCACCCATGGTTTATTCTCAGTGACCCTTGGTGTATCTGTAAAGGCAAAACTTGTGTTAGGTAGTTTGTAGATTGAAGTGATTGTGATTCCACTGGGTTCAACAGTCAAGGTTTCAATGTTGTTTTCTTCAGTCTTTGCTGTAGAAATTATGACTGTCCCAGTTTTAACAAATATGGCACTTCCAAATTGCTTGTGTGGTCTTTCAATCGCCATAGTCATTCCAGGTATTGAAGGACGATTATTATGAGGCCCTCAGGATGTCTCTTGTAAGCATAAGACATCACACTGGACTTTCTTACATATATTTACAATCACTTTTTTCACTACTGAAGACCCTTCAAGGTTTGTGGACAGTACTTTCAATACTGGCCCTAGGGAGGGCTTGTGTCTACTTTAGTCACAAGGCATTATGATTGTTATAGCTGGTCAATTTGTAGAGTCAAAATTGTGGTTTGGAGCATTAGCTGAATTTTCAGGTATTATCAGGTGTTACCTGACAGGGGTCACAACAGGAGCATTTCTACCATGTCCCCCCAATCTCCTCCCTCCCCATTCCTGGCTGGACTGAAGCAGCAGGGCAAAAACCCCTGCCTGCTTCTCATACAAGAGACTCCTGTACAAGAAACAGACAGGGGGCTCTCAGTATTGCTCCCACTTCCCAGGTTCAAGTGCCTGGGAGTCAAATGGACTGAGCAACACCCCTGCCTGCTCCACACACCTCAGATTCCAGTTTGAGGAGCTGGTGGGGACTTTGCCCCACTATCCCAGGGAGAGCCTCCCTAATCTCAGTTCCCTGCTGGCTTCCCCTTGCCCCAAACCCCAGCCAGTGCAGCCCTGAGCTGGGCTCAGAGTGGCATTCCCCAGCCAGTTTTGCTGCTGGCCAGCTTCTCATTGCTGTCCACACCATGCAACAAGAAGGGGAGTGGGGAGAGGAGGGAGAGGCAAGGGGAAGCAAGCAGGGGACAGCACCATTCCTGCACTTGGTTCCTGGTTTACAGGAGCTAAGAAGAGGGAGCAGCAAGGCAAAGATGCCACCTGCTTCTCATGCCAAGAACTCAGAAAGGGGGCTGCACTGCACTCTGCTGCTTGGCTCCTGGTACCAAGCAGCCAAATGAAGGGAGTGGTGCTGCAGAGCTTCTGTCTGCTTCTGATACTAGGAACTGGTGCAAGAAGCATCAGGGGATCAGCTGGTAGCTGATCCTTCCCTCCCTTCATGATCTTTGGGGCAGGTGAGAGCAGCTGCCCCCTGTACCTTCTCTAAACCAGTGACCCTGGTCTCAAGAAGTCACTGGAACCTTTCCTTTGGCTCCTGATCCCAAGAGAAGTTAAGCCAGGGAAAAGTGTGTAGACATTTAATCTCACAGGAGAAACTCTCTCAGGTGTGATTTAACCCTGGCTTCTCCAGGAGAAAGAGCTTGAATGTCTGCATACTTGTGGTGTCTACCAGGAAAACAGTGATTCTCCTGGCAAAAACTGAACATTTGTACATAGCCTCTGGTAAATCCTTGTTATACTTGAAGAACATACAACACATGGTTTACATTAATGTTGGTTATTAGATGGCTTGGATTGATTTAATTTACTTGTTAAACATCTGCCACAGGTCATATCCTTTCAAAGAGAATCAGCACTCGCATTTCCATTAGTACATCTAACTAAATTTGTGTTTGAAATATGTTCCTTCTTATAGGGTTTTTACAGCAATTGCATATGGTGCAGTGGCAGTAGGTGAGACATTGACGTTTGTACCTGACTATGCCAAAGCCAGATCTGGGGCTGCACACCTGTTTGCTCTGTTCGAAAGGACTCCAGCCATTGATAGCTACAGTGAAGCAGGAGATAAACCAGTGAGTGGAACTTCAATTTTAAATAAAAACCCACACCTCCTTGTTGCAAGAAATTACCTCACCTTATTGATGCCTTTGCTTAAAATAAAGAAAGTGAAAGCCTGGAAGCATGGGCATTTGAGCCTATGGCCAGTTGGCAGGCCTCTTACCATGCATTGTCTCAGTGCTATTGTTATGATTAATTATTTATATTGCAGCACAGCTCAAAATGTGCTGTCATCTAATAATGGTGCCTGGCCAAGTAGCCTGCTAGTGACTGATTAGACCTCTTCCAAACTGAATACTTAGCAAGTATATAAAGCTTTGTGTTCCTCTTACTATCACTGGGTGCATCTACATGTGCAGTTATGGTGCCTGAATAACTGCAAAGCTTATTGCGCTACAGTTAATTGCTCCCGGGCACGCTCTTTGAATGTGTGCCCAGGATCAATTAACTCTGCAGAAGTAAGCTCCTCAGTTTATTCAGGTGCAGCATGTGGAGCCCAGGCAGAGCAGCCCCAGCTGGCAAAGAGCCCTGGGGGTCAGCCTGTCAGCCTGGGGCTGCTCCCCCCAAGCTCAGTGTGCTGCAAAAGGCCTGGCTGGGGCATAAGGGAGCTTCAGTGTGGGGCTAGCCAGCAGACAGCCCTCACACTGAAGCACGCTTGTGCCCCAGTCAGCCAGGCAGGGGCTTCTGCAGAGTAAATCAGTTTATTCCAGCCCAATGGGGGCACACATGTAGACTAGACACCAAGACTTTTACTGCACAGCTGATTAGTGCAGTAAATGTCTTTTTTAGATGTGCACACTGTTGTTTTCCTCACCTCCCTTTCTTATGTTCTCCTCCCATCCATCCTGCAGCATCTCCTATTTAGGCTAGGACACTGCACCTTGTTTCATATTTATGCTGCTGCTTCCTACCTCCAGCATGCACAGAACAAGTTGTCATACTTTAAGTCCATAGGGGAAAGGAATATCTAGTGATTAGATACCTAACAAAAAAATACTTGATCCTAATGGTGGCTTCCTGGTTGCTGCTGTAATACAAATGAGCTGCACTCATTGACACAATACGTTTACAATCTGTAAAGACAAAAATCAGAAAAAGGCAACATGGTCAAAGTGGGGTTTTCACTGTACATTAAGGCCCCTTTCTCACCCTTTGGTTTTGTTAGTAATCACAGGGCAGGTGCCACAGAGCTAAATAAAACTTTTGAGTAGAGAAGGATAGAATAACAGTGGGTTGGAAGGGACCTCAGGAGATCATCTAGTCCAACCCCCTGCTCAAAGCAGGACCATCCCCAACTAGATCATCCCATCCAGTGCTTTGTCCTAAAAACCTCCAGGGGTAGAGATTCCACAACCTCTCTGAGTAACCTGTTCCAGTCTTTTTCGACCCTCCTAGTGAGAAAATTCTTCCTAATATCTAACCCAAACTTCCCTTGCTGCAACTTGAGACCGTTCCTTCTTGTTGTCATCTGCCACCACAGGGAACAGTCTAACTCCATCCTCTTTTGAACCCCCTTTCAGATAGTTGAAGGCTGGTATTAAATCCCCTCTCAGTCTTCTCTTCTCATAAGACATGTGCCCCAGTCCCTGCACCATTTTTGTTGCCCTCCACTCTCCAATTTGTCCGCATCCTTTCTGTAGTGTGGGCCCAAAATAAAACACTGTACTCCAGATGTGGCCTCACCAGTGCTGAATAGAGGGGAATAATCACTTCCCTTGACCTGCTGGCAACACACGTAGCAGTGCAGCCCAGTATGCTGTTAGCCTTCTTTGCAACAAGGGCACACTGCTGGCTTATATTCAGCTTACTGTCCACTGTAACCCCCAGGTCTTTTTCTGCGGAGCTGCTGCCCAGCCAGTTAGCTTCCAGCCTGTTCTGGTACATGGGTTTGTTTCATCTTAAGTGCAAAACTTTACACTCATCCTTGTTGAACCTCATGAGATTCTTTTTGGCCCAATCCTCCAATTTGTCTAGGTCACTCTGAACCATAGCCCTACCCTCCAGTATATCTATTACTCCCTTCAGCTTGGTGTCATCTTTCAGGTCGTTGATGAAGATATTGAACAAAACCAGCCCCAGGACCAACCCTTGGGGTACTCCACTTGAGTTGGCTGCCAACCAAGTACTGAGCCATTGATTACTACCCCTAAGCCCAATTATCCAGCCGGTTTTCTATCCACTTTACAGTCCATTCATTGAGCCCATATTTTCTTAGCTTGCCTGAGAGAATATTATGGGAAACTATCAAAAACCTTGGTAAAATCAAAGTGCCCTGTGACACCTTTTCTTTCACCCTGTTGCTGCTCATCTCCTCCCCAAACTGTGCTGCCCAGTGCAGTAGTCTGGAAGCTGACCTTGCCTTCGAAGACAGAGGCAAACAAGGCATTGAGCACTTCAACCCTTTCTGCATCCTCTAACACAAGGTTGCCTCCCCCATTCAGTAAGGAACGCACACTTTTCCTGATCTTCCTCTTGCTACTGACATACTTGTAGAAACCCTTCTTATTACTTGTAAAAACCCTTCACATCCCTTCCTAGCTGCAACTCAAGTTGCACTTTGGCTTTCCTGACTTCATCCCTGCATGCTCAAGCAATGCTGTTATACTCCTCCCTAGTTATTTGTCCTAATTTCCACTTCTTATTAAGCTTCCTTTTTGTGATGTAGTTTATTGAAGAGTTCCATGTTAAACCAACCTGGTCTTCTGCCATACTTGCTAGTCCTTCTGTGCATTGGGATAGTTTGTTCCTACACTCTCAGAAAGGCTTCTTTAAAGCTTTATTGAGTATCACTGTGCTTTAATGAGATTTTAGTGAAAGTACTGTTGATAATTACAGCGATGCATTTGGACCACTAAAGAGTCACAGGGACGTTTGAGGTATTTTTTTAAATCCCTAGTCTTTCAGAACTCTTAAGAAGTTAGTCTATGAATATGTTGTATTTGCCTGTTTTAAAAATGTTTAGTTCTGTACAGACATAAGACATTATTGTGCAGGGAGATGGAAATCAGCTGGTACCATTATTTTCCATACCAAGGCTGAACAACTTCTTTTCCTGGAAGTCTTAAGCATATAGTCCAAAACCTAAAATTAAAGATTGAGTGTAGTAGAATAAAATTGAAGAACAGTTAATAAGTGTTATTCAGAACCGTTAGTCACCATTACACCCACACCGGTATTTCAAGAACATTTTAGAAATCTTTTGGTGAACATAATACAGCATGGCATCTGAGTACAAGAAGGACATTTTAGAGTATGTATCTATAAAAGATGTTTAAATTAACTTACTATTTCAAAGGCTTAGATGGATTTACTAATTCAGATGTATAATGCAAGTGATGTGGTGTTACCAATCTGTTCTCACAGGACACATTCAGTGGAAGGTTAGAATTCCGTGAAGTCTCTTTCATTTATCCAACTCGCCCAGATGTTCCCATCCTGCAGGATTTGTCTCTTACAATTGAACGGGGACAGACTGTAGCATTTGTTGGAAGCAGTGGATGTGGGAAAAGCACTTCTGTTCAGCTCCTACAGAGGTTTTATGACCCTCTGAAAGGGCAAGTGGTAAGATTAGATTTTGATAATGCCTATGCTAGTGATTTTTATTACTGTTTTCTAATGGCATGTTCCTACTTAAGTTTTATTGCTATTTTAAAAGGCCCAGTGACAGAGCTGCTAGGATGCCAAGAGGGACGCCTGATCTTATATTGATTCTGTATCTACAGAACATAGCATGTCATTCAGGTTTAGTGACTTTTGGCATTTGTACGTGACATGGGGGGTTAATTCTCCCTAAATTGAAGCAGTGGTTTTTAAAAACACTGCTTCAATTTAGGGTGACATAAACCCCTGTGTCATGTACACCCATGTCCTTACCTGCCTCTCTGGCAGCAGGGAGCAGAAAATGAGCTGCCAGCAGGCCAAGTGGTCCCTGACCTGCGGTGGGGGGGTGGTGCTTCCCTCTGTGGCAGCGGTGGCCTCCCCCCCAGACAGAACCCACCCACAGGAACCCGGCTCAGGCGGTCCCATGAAGCACTGAAACTGTGGAGGGAAGCACGAGGCCTCCACGCAGCTCAGGCAGGCAGGCAGGCAGGCTCCAAGGAAGGAAAAGAAAAAAAATCAGGCTCACTGCTTTTTTTTTCTCCTTCAGTGCAGCCTGCCTTCCTGGGCTTTTGGCGGGCTGCCTGCTGGGGCTCCCTGCAAAGCCCCTGAGCCGCACAGGGCCAGGTGATTCCCTCCATGGTTGGAAGGTAGCAAACTAAAACTCCTCAAAGGTGTTATAGTTTGCACCCCAAAGTCATTTGCTGTGCCCCAAAGTCCTTTAAGGTGCATTACACCACCAAATTTGCTATGGCGGCTAGAATTAACACACAGTATGCTGCCGAGTTTGCAAACTCATGCGAACAGCAAAGCTATTAAAACAGTGCAAAAGGTCACTTAACCTACTTTAATGTGTTGTCTACACATGCCCTATAATGCTCATTTACCCCAGTTACAGCTGGACCAAAGGAGCAAGTTTTAAGTTAATCTATTGCTTCTTCTGTTGGGATTTCTCACTGTTAGAATCAGTATCATGTACAACAACTCTCTTTTGTAAGAAGGTATTTCCAGCAACTGGTCCAGAAATACCAATAGTATTTTTTTAAAACTTTCTGTTTAGTCATAGCTACTGCTGTGGTTGTATATTACTGACTTTATGAAATTTCATTCTGCTGGTCTCAGAAAAATGGGTGTGATTTTTTCCTTTCCCAGATTTATTTTTTTTCCACAAAATGTTGTGCAGATAGAGATAAGAAAAACTCTTTGGTCTAGACCCTCAGCTAGTAAATCAATATAGTTCCACAAAGGTCAGTAGAGCTTTGTCATTTTATATAAGATGAGGGTCCAGACCATGAGATTTAATCAGTTTACTGAGGTTAATCAAGTTCTAAGGGGGGAAAAAATCTACAAAATGTAAATGGGAACCTCTCAGAAGGTTACTTTAAGTATATACTCATTTTCCAACCCTATAGAGAATGACTACAGGCCACAGTATAGGCATCAAAAAAAAAAAAAAAGACAATTTCTTGATCTTAATTTGAGTAGGATTGTAAGAGAAAAAAGAATAAACCACCCAATGCTATCACAGGAACCCTGAACTCTGGCTCCACCTTTTTGGAAACGCACAAATGGAAAATGTTTTATTATTCTACCCCACAAATGTATAGAAGCAGTTTGGGTTTTGTCACATTTCTTGATTAAGCTCTCTGGCATTTAACTAAATCCCTTGCCTATAGAAGAAATCTATGCTGGTTTGGGAGGGAGAGAGGAGGAAGGCACTGATATAATTAAACAGGTGCAGATTCCTATGAAATATCTTTATTTGGTTTAAGAATGGCTTACTGCAGCTAAATTTTAACCCATCCACACAACTGGTTCAAGCTAACAGCCATGGTCTGCTGTCTAACCCTGCTAAAAGATGAGGGAAAAAATGCACTTTACGAGAAGAAACAGCATGTTAGTTCGACCTGGCCTGCCGACAAAACAAACCGGCACTTTACTTTAAACTCTGAGTGCCCCCACATTGAACCCAGTGCATGTCCAGAAGCGGCATCACATTAGTTGGACCTGGCTCACCCAACTTCTGTATAGATCGGGTGCTTCAGTGGGGCTTCTCAGTGCTTTTATCTAAAGCTGATTCAATCAGTTACTAAATAAAAATTCCAAAAAAGCCCTGCTAAAGCACCCAATCTATACAGAAGTTGGGTGAGCTGGGTCCAGACAACGCAATGCTTCTTCTGGTCATGCACTGGGTTCAGTGTGGGGGCACTCAGAGTTTAAAGTAAAACACCAGTTTGTTTTGTTTTTCTGATGCCTGTAAGCAGCTAGAGTGTATCATGAGAGAGGTAGTCCAGCCTTGGAGTCTGGCTCATAGAGGTCAAATCATCCCTATGTTAAAACTCAGGCAGATGCAGTGTCTCAAAGCTTACTTGAAAGAAAACATTTCTGATTCAAAGCCTTTCATTCAATGAAAAAGTGTTGATATTTAACTTTTCTTACGGATATAGGTTGAAAACAGATGTTGAAATAATGTAATTTCCTGGAGGGTAGAAATTCCAGTTTTTGCTTAGCTCTCATCCAAACCAATGCTGTAAAAACCAATATGATAATCAGCATATTCACTAGAGTTAAGATATGAGAAGTTCATTGCTGCCAGATCAAGGTAATATGAGCAGGTGAAAATGACACAACAAAAACTATCAAAAACTATCAAACTATCAAAAAATAGCAATGAATAGTTCCTCCCTCTAGAAATCTTTCTTGGAGACAGGCAAGAACGCTTTCACTGCTTCAACAGTTTTTGTAGTTCTTGTGGTGATGATTTTTGCATTTGTGAATAAAGTCTGACTGAAAAAGAAGACAAAAGCCCAATCTTGACATTTGTTGTTGTTGGCAGCTATTTGATAGCACAGATGCGAAGCATTTGAATGTACAGTGGCTACGCTCTCAAATAGGAATAGTATCCCAAGAGCCAGTGCTTTTTGATTGCAGCATTGCTGAAAATATTGCCTATGGAGATAACAATCGGACTGTGCCAATGGATGAGATAATAGCAGCAGCAAAAGCAGCAAATATCCATACTTTTATAGAAGAACTCCCTGAGGTAATCAAGTGACTGAACACATTAAAGTAAAGAAAAGTTTGATGGTTTTGTTTTGTGATATTGTGACCTTCTGCAATTTACAGCATTGCAAAATCAGGAGTGTTTGATTTTATGTTCAAATGCTACTTGTTTTATTAAGTGGTGTGAATTACTCCATGAGATTTTCTCCATCAGTGGTACACCGATAGCTAAGACCTGGTGAGAACAAGAGGATTCAGTATTGTAGTTTCACCTGGGGCTATATTCTCCAAAGAAAAGGTGCAGCAAATGCACTTCTGCTGTATTCCCCACTCAACCTTGTGTTTGCCTGTGGCAGTGCACCCAGGAGTTGTTATTACAGAGATGATAAGCTTCTTCATTCCTTTCCTACTATGCCCATGCTCTGAGTCACAATGGGCAATACAACAGTAGCAAAAAATAGGCTTTCTACTCTTTTTCCAACACAAAATGTACACAGGAGAAAAATAGAAATAGATTTTTAAGTGCATCTCTACCTGCATGTAATTTAAACATTAACCTCTTGCTTTTAATAATTGTATGCTGTTATAACAGAAATACAACACACGAGTTGGAGATAAAGGAACACAGCTCTCTGGCGGCCAGAAACAACGAATAGCCATTGCAAGGGCTCTTATCCGGCAACCAAAAATGTTGTTGTTAGATGAAGCCACTTCAGCACTTGACAATGAAAGTGAAAAGGTAACAATCTATATGTAATAAAAATGTATAGGAATATATGTCAGCTCTTTAGAAATTAATCTGAATACTAAGAAAGGGGCAAAGGTCTTCCAATTTATGCTCATGCAGTCTTTAGTCTGAAATGTGACATGGGCTGCTTCATCCTGTATCAGAGACCTAAGTAAGCAGTTTTCAGAGGGCCAAGCAGGGATCATCGTATCCACTGCCCTCTCTGGGATATTTTCCTTTTTCTTCATGATGCAGTGTCAGTTGCAGTGGTGTTGGCATATAGTTAAAAGGGCCACATGCATATAAGGCAGCACATGCAAACTTTTCAGTATGTTTCAGTTTGTAAATAGGCATTATGAAAAACTCAAATCTCTTGCACTTACATAGGCTCATCTTCTGCTTTGTGAACACTTGAGTTTTACAATTCTTCTTCCTCTCTTTTCACCTTCAGACTGTCTTATATTTCATAAGGTCTCTCCAGTCTGGTGCAATCATACAATGCCTTTTAACTTGCTAAATTCAGACACTTTCATAGTAGTGTCCACTGTTTTTATAGTTCTTTTTCCTTGAAAAAAAGAGAATTGCGGCTGTACTTGCACAAGCTGTCAGGGCATAAGATTTTATTATGAACCAATGAAATTTCTGAGCAGTATTTTTTTAATACCACTCTAGGACTTGCTGATGCTTGCTCGTATTTAAGTGGAACTGAGCAACCACTTCACTGCTTAATGTCCTTAATTGCACTGAGTAACACCTTGTTCCACCAGTAGCTTTGCTGAATGAAATCACTGGTGATGTATGTAGCCTATGGGTCTATGAAAGATCAGTCCTATGTTTTACACAAGAGCAGCTAGGGTGAAATGCTGTTCTGATTTAAGTCAATGGCAAAACTCTCATTGATTTTAAAGAGGCAAGATTTTTACTGTTCATATTAAGTTATAAAGCAGAGGACCAAGGATGAAAAAAAATCCATTACAGTTTGTCCATGTTAAAGCAGACTCAAAAATAAACCCATTAAATCACTGGTTTAGAACCTGCACGCAGAGAGGAAAAATAAATGCTACCACTGCCACTGAGGGAACATACAATCAATACAACTGTAGACTCCCTCTGCATGAAGAAGGGTGTTTGTACCCAAAAGCTTGGAAAGAACAAATTTTCCAACTATTTAGTTGGCCTAATAAAAGATACCACATTTACTCAAAGAACCTTGTATGCCACTGAGGGAATTGCATTTTATTCTATCCAATTTGCAATTTTAAACTATGGTCCTCAATACATTTTAGGTGTTTTTATTTGGTTCATTCCAGAACCACACTATGTTCTAATTTAAAATTGTTCTGACTAACTATAACATTGTCACAACACAAACTTTTTAACACATTTTAAATGTGGCTTTGTGTGTGAAGTTATAACTAAATTGTTTTTATTTTAACAGCATTTTGTGAAATGTCTGTACTCAGTGGCGATGCACATGCACCCCCTGAGAGCACTGGTGCACCCCCTGACAGTAGCATTACCAGACGGGGGTGGGCAGGCAAGAGTGCTGGTGTCCCTCCTGAGAGCACCAGCAAGGGAGTGTGCTAGAAGAAGCGGTCCCTCTGCGGCTGATCCCGCTGACTCAGAAGTGCCAGTGGCGCACCTGGCCTGCGGGATCAGCTGCAGGGGGACACCCCCCCAGCAGACTCTGACTGTTTGCTGGGGGGGCAACTGTCCCCCGTGACTCAGGAGGTACCAGTTGCCCATGTCTGCACTTACTTATCCACTTGGGAAATTGCACTAGTATATTGCCTTGTGTAAACAGTCTTATTCTGCTCCTCCAGAATAGTAGTGTCTACACTACTAAATAGTTCTGCTAATAAATTCCCCCAGGTAGAAAAGCTGTTAAGGCTTTAGCTATAAGAAAATTCAGAGTTTGAATTCAGAGTTGACAACAGGTGGTATAAATTGTTAAATTTTAGTGTAGAAAGGATACAGCCCACCACACAATTTCACCTTATTCAGGTTAGACATGAATAACATAGGCTAAGAAAGCTTATGATCTGCAGATTTTATTGATAAAGTGCATTATTAGTGCACTTGTTGGTGAATTATTTAATGTTGCCATTATAGGGTTAAAAATTTTGAAATTGATATTAAAGTAGGGTCCATGTTTTCTGTATTTTTCTGTAGGTGGTACAACAAGCCCTTGATCAGGCACGGAAAGGAAGGACCTGCATTGTGATTGCTCACCGACTATCAACCATACAGAATGCAGATATCATTGTTGTAATTAACAATGGAAAAATAATAGAAGCAGGAACTCATCACCAGCTAATGGCAAAGCAGAAAGCATATTTTAATTTAGTAAATGCACAAATGTTTCTCTAAAACAAGGATGGCCTGAAGCCATCTTTAGAAATGAGATGTCAGGAAAAAAAAAAGTACTGTCGTGTGTGGTCTGACCTTGTGGTTTTACAGGTAACTTTCTTCACATGCTGTTCTGCTGGGGACTTGGAGCTGGCAGCCAGCTTGCAGTTCTTAGCTCAGAATGCCAAGATACACCTACAATACTGAACTGAATAGGAACATGGAAAACATCTATTTCTCACATCAGCTTATGATCAGTATTTAACTCAAGTGTTTTTTTTCTGATCCCTTCCCCTCTTCCATAAGCCATGTAACTGAATGCTTACTACTGTGTTAGCACTGACAGATACAATGGTCTTGATGTATTACCTTGAACTGATGTTAATTTTTTCCCTTAATTTTTATAGAAGGTGGTTTGAATAATAAATTTAAATTGACCTGTTTGCTACAATTGAAAATAATGTTGGGCATTCCCTTAAAACTCAAACAGCCCTCCCCTTGAACAATGTTTAGATCCAGATTAAAGTTTTATTACTCAACCCACCCCATATTTCAGTTATTTACTTAATCTCTTCTCCTTTTTAAGTCCTAATTTAATATTTTTACAGAAGCCCCCCTAATATCAATTTAAGATTTAGAATTCTAACATCAGTTCAAGATGATATATGAAGACCATTATATCTGTCAGTGCTAACACAGCAGTACCGGCCCTAACACAAAAATAACTGTCCTGTTGTATGCTTTATGGAAGAGTGGAAGGGATCAGAATAACCATTTAAGTAAAATACTGATCATGAAGTGATTACAGAATCCCCTTCAGGGATTTTCCTACATCTTTGAATAACTCACTGAATGTTGATGTCTGAGCCCCAGTGTTCCTATATGAAAAACTGAGTTAATGCTACTTTTTCAAATTTGCATAGTGCTCTAAGAACCACAAAGGAAAAGTGCTAGCAGCCAGCAAATGGGCTGTTCAGTAGTTATCATTAAAAGTTAGGCTGTGAAGAGAAGCCCAAGGGTTGTGAAAACATTTTCCTGAATTTTGTGGAAAATCTGCAATTGCCTGTTTTGTTAATAAAACCATGCACTCAAATAGCTAGGAATCTAGTGTGTGTGCAATGGCCTTATTTGTGCACATATGCACACACTGTGGTAACTTAAGAGTGCTTATAAGTATGTAACTGTGTATGCAGACTCAGGTGTTTAAAGACAACATATAAAGAGGTCTTTTTTCCTTCTTGTTAACTTTTTTTTACCAGTTATGGTTACCTTTTTATAATAAGTTGAAACTTCTATGTGTTTAAGTTTTCTTTCATTTGCATCATGACTGTAGTGGTTCTGATAAAGGGCTCTGTCAGTGTTCACTAGAGAACACTATTGGAAACTTTCTCAGCTCCTACCTGTAGATAAAAGGGCATTGAATCTTGCAACTAAGAGATTCTTTTCCCAATTTTTTGATGAGAATGTACATTTTTTAAAAGTGTAAACAATTTTTTTTCTTCCCAGTTGCTTAGATTTGTCTCCTGCAATGCTATAAATTCTGCTGTCTCCAGTCCTCAAAGGAATTTTCCAGTATCAAAAAAATGTTTATAATTTTGAATTTCTTCCCCCCTTTTAGCAGGTTCCTTTATGTTGTTAAAATGCCATTTCCAAGAATCACTTTGTAATTAATCAAGTTACTTACAACTCTGTTGGAAATTAGACTTGGAATTAGAAACTCATTTTCAAAGTTGGCAAAGGGCTAAAAGTTGTCTTTAAAACTCTTAAGGCTAAATCCTCTCATAATCTGTGCATCCTTTCTAAATGTAGTGCAAGATTGGCTACAGTACTTGGGTAATGATACATGGGACACTTCCAACCTGTGTGCACCAAATGTACCACTCAGAATTGGCAAAGTTGCTCTCTCAAAGGTCTTGGCCTGAACTATAATTAATTCAGATCTACTGTAAAGCTCAGCCTAAATTAGATCGATCCCACTGGAAGATTTCTGTCTACCTGTAGATGGAGTAACTAAAGCAGCAGCTACACCTTCCACTAGTGTAATTAGTATAGCATATTAGTATATTAACATGTCCTTAAATTACAGATATTTTAGTTATGTTTAGTTATGTTTAAAATGCAGAGATTGGCTTTCAAAAACAATATGGATTAAAGGAACTTCATTGTGAATGACGTGACTTGGGTCACTGCTTTTTGGGGACTTGTCTGTTCTCCACCCCACCTTCTTGCTTACCTGCCAAGACATGTTATTCATATTTTTCTTGGGCAGGTTCGATGGTTCCACAGAGTGAAGGTCTGTTTTGCTAGACAGTGTATTCTTTTGAAGGGCTCCACCTCCCCTACACAGTGCCCCTTTTCTCTCAAGTCCATGGTGCGACTCACACTGGTCCCACATTCATGATTCCACTTCCATAGCCACCATCTGAGGAAGGTTGCTGGATTCCTCCACAAGTAGAATTCAGAGTCCCAGGGCTAATAATTCTCAACTTTTAATGTTTAACTCCTGAGAAGGAGGAAATGTAGTCCTAGCTTTGACTCGGGATGACCAGTATATTCTCCAACTCCTTCATAAGTGAACATCTACAAATTCTCCCTGTTCCTTGTTCTTTAATTACCTTTATAAATCCATTCATTTCTTATTTCCCCAAAATAAGCATCTATGAGTTCATTCACTTATTTCTCAATTAATTATATAAATGCATTCATTCTACATTTCTAAATTAATCCCCAATGAATTCAGTCCCTTCCTAAGCAGTAGTAAATTTATCACTATATAAATATAATTGCAGTCCATTCACCAGATGCCTCGAGACCTGGCACTCATATCCGCCAATCCCTGGCACTGCTAACTTGTCTCTTATTATCCCAGTAGCCCACTTCACTTATCGTTTCATTCAGCACCCAGACATATTCTACTCAGGTTCTGGTTTTCCTTCCCTGGATCTTCCCAACTCAGCCGTCCGAACATCTGGGTCCCATGTCCCCACATGTGTTGTACAGCTCATAGGCTCTGCTGTACTTTTCCCACCCCGGGGGAAACCCAACATGCTCTCCCTTTTCTGCCCTGCCAGCATTCCGGGGCCAATGAAGGCTTGCACCCTCTGGCACATGACTGCATGCCACCAAAAGTCTATCCCCTTCCTGGGGTTTTCTCCCAGACCCTTTTCCCTGACTCCACTGGGTTCCACTGGGTAAGTTTGTTCCTGGCTTGGCCAGTTTCTACTGTCTGTAACAGAGGCTGGAGGCAAGCCCATTACATTCATGAAAACCATAAACCAACAATTATTTGGGCATTTTGACAGATGTGCTATATTGTCATACATATTACACCTTACATTAACAGACTTCAGTGTGTGACACTTTCCCATACACTGCAAAAAAATACAGTGCCATTATATATTATGTATTTACATTACTCAGAACCACTGTTTAGAAGATAAGATGCCTCTTGGAAATATAGCTCTGTGAATAAACAAGTATTTTTCTAAAACTTTTTAGTTGTCTATTATGTATGAAACTGCAGACTTCTGAAAGGCACTGCTTCTTTGTTCTGTGGTTTGTACAGCTCCAAGCAGAATGAGATTGTGGTCTTGTGGCTGTGGTGCCCAGGCATCACTGCAGTACAAATAATTATTAGAGGGTGGTATTCTTTCAGTTTTTTCAATTAAATTAACTAGTTTGATTAGAAATGTAACAAAATTAGGTAAGGTAATTTAAGTTTCTTTTAGATTAGCTACTTAATATAAACCAAAATAATAAATACACCTACCATGAAATGAGTTTGGTTTATATAAGAGTTAAACTAAACCCGTAGCCCACTGGTGCCCAACCTTTTGCCCTTTGGGCTGGATTGGCAGTGCTGCTCCATCCATGCATGGACACCTGGTGCCTCCTGAGTCATGGAGGTATGTGCCTCTCCTCCAGCAGCCAGTCAGCGACTTAGGGGGAGGGTCCCCCTATGGCCAATCTTGCCGACCGGGGGCATTCCCCACCCCCCCTGCAGCTGATTGTGCTGACTGGGGGGGTACCCCCACGGCCAAGCACACTGACTGGGAAGCACAAGCAGGGCACCCAGAAGTGCCAGTGGTGCTTCTCCTGGCACCCCCACTACCTGGCCGGCACTCATGGGGGGGCACTGGCACTCCTGCCTGCCCATCGCCTAAGCAAGGAGCGCTGGCTGTCGGGGGGGCACCAGCGCTCTCAGGGGGTGCACATGCACCCCCATGTACCTGCTGCATGGTGCCACTGCATCCATGGGCCAGATTCATCTAGGCCCAATTCAGTGTGCAGGGCGAGCATGGCAGGTCCCAATCTGTCTACACAGGGCTTGGAAATTTGGTAATGGTAGGAGGGGTTCAGTGTTAATTGCCACTTTCCCCTCCCCCACTTTCCCTTCTGCCAAATTTCACAGCCCATGGGGAGCTCCATGGGCTGGATGCTATAGGTCCATGGGCCAGGGGTTGAGCACTCCTCCTGTAGAGAAGCACAAATCTAATCTGTTTCATAAGTAAAGATTCAGTGTTCTCTTCCTGCATTTGGTAAACAGATAGCCTGCAACAATAACTCTGAGAAGTTTGAACTGTCTTAGACAACATGACAATAAAAACACTGGGGCCTAGTCCACATGCCACATTCCTAACTTGATTGTAGCAGTGGTGCTGCACTAATAGAGAAGTTTACTAGGGGAAAAGCCTATGCAGACTTTTCATGTAATAAGAGCTGTTTGACCATCCCAAGGAAAATGGGAGGCTCTTCATTCTATGGTTACCAATTTTTATTGCATACAATTGCCCAGAATACAATACACATCTTGTTTTTGAAAGGCAGAATGAAGAAAAGAGAATTCTCTCTGTAGTAACTAGGTATATCTACACTTGTGTTTTAATGCTGAGTTGACTAATTAGCTCCACAGTAGAGTGTCACCATCTATATGTGCACCCATATTAAGGTACAATAAATTAATTAACGCTGCTGTAGGATTGTTTAACTTTGCTGTAGGATTGTGCTGTCTGGGACAAGTACTATCCTATGGCAGAGTAATTTACACCACTGCAATGCATGTGTAGACAGTAACCAGGGCTGGCTGGGTCACAAGGGTGCTACAGTGTGGGGGCTGCCTGATGCCATCACCTGGAGCCCAATCCAGACCCCACACCAGCCTGGGGCTGCTCCACCCCAGCTTGAATTGCTGTGATCCCAGTCACATATGAAAATGCTGTGCCTGGAAACAGCTTACTCCAGCACAAACCATGCCAGAGTTTGTGTTGGGGTAACTGCACATGTAGATGCACCCACTAAGCAGCAGCAGCTAGGGAACTAAGCCCACTGCTTCCTGTGGATTGTGTGCAGACTTTAAGCTGTTCTTAAATTTCCTTGCATATAATACACATTCCAAAATCCAGCAGTTGGTTCTTTTCGAAAAAAGGTGTATGGTGCTTGTGAAAAAAAATAACAGTATATTAGACAAAATGCAGAGGAGGGTGATCTGACCATTTCTGACCTCTTTAGCAGCCCATTACCTTAAATAAACACATTTGCAAAAGGTTTATGATAAAGTCATCAGCTGAGATGCAGGTTTTCAGTTTCCTACAGAAATTTTCAGTTTCCTACAGGAAAAAAAAATGTGGATTTACCCTTTTAACAGAGGAAAATGTGGAATTTTCATTTAAATGGAGGAATATGCAGATTTTCCACTTTTGCAAAGAGTTCTCTGCAGACTGGCAGGGGGGTGAGTACAGCAGGAGGATGGTGGTCAGGCCAGGGGGCACCATGTGCATGTACATACTCACACATGCACATGGTCACCAGGCAGCCTGGAGAGCAGCTTCTGCAGGTAAATCTGGTGAAGAAGTAGAGGGGATTGAGGCCCTCATAGGGAAGAGAGAGAAGGAGTTGGGCAGGGCTGGGGCTGGGGCTGCAACTGCTGCCCAACCAGAGCACTACATGGGGCTTGGGGCCCAGGGCCTAAGGCCGGAATGCACAGCTGCAGGGCCCTGGGCAGGGACCGGGACAGAGACATGGGCAGCTTAGGAGGAAGCTGGCTCCCCAAAGCTACACACACTCCCAGAAACACAGGAGGGGTGGGCATGTGCCCCCCTCCACTAGATCTGCATGTGGGGAAGGGGGAGGCAGGCTGCCTGCTATATGCTTAGGCTCCCCACCCTGCTGCCTTCCCCCTGGGTCCTCCATGGCCCAGCGGGCAGGACCCAGCATGGCAACACAGAATGGGACCAGGTAGAAAAGTTCCTTGCCACTGCAAACCCCATACCATCCTGGTGAAGTACCCCCTGCCTGCCCATGTTCCTCGTGGACCTATGCAAGATGTTCCCTATGTGATCCTATGGTGACTTTCATGTAATTCCGTTCATTTTCTTGGTCACTATCACTTTAGCAAGAAGGGTTAGTGAGATCCAAGGTCTGATGGCAGATTCCCCTGACCTGGTCATAAGGTCTCATTACCCACTCACCCCAAGTTCCAACCAAAGATTGTCATCAAATTTCACCTTGTTTAACAGATACATTTGTCCATCTTTCTTTCCAAGATTTCAATCCTTGAAAGCTGAGGATTCACTCATATACTGGGAAATTAAAAACAGTGTTCCATAACAGAAGATGGGCTTGCTGCACTGGAGCCAGGTCACAGTCACCAGCTGTAAAGCCCCTAGGATTTCCAGTTTTGGTGGATGCACTAAATTACGAGGCCCGGTGTGCTCCAATTAAGACACCAGTAAATGACCAAATTAAGATGTATGTGTCTGATAGGTTTTTTTGGAACAAAGGAATATGTTGACAGAACAGAATGTGGACAGTATGATGGTGGTGGATGGGTCATATTCGACCTGGGGTGAGGTGGG